ACATGTACTAGCAAAAATACTCATATAAAATATTCTCAGTACCAATGCCTTAGCATCTTCCCGTTTACGTTTTTATGATATGATACACGAATGAATACAAGTTGTGAGTTCGGAATACGTACTTTTCTTGACTTAAAACGCGACGGTGGAAAAATTAAAAGAAAAAGAAAAACACGATTGGATGACATGATTGATGAAACTGGAATAATAGAAATCATTGAGCGGCTCAGAGAATGCTGCTCCAGTACGTACTCGGAAACCGTCTGTGTTTGCCCTTTCGCAGTTCACCCTGAGGCGTTCACAATCTGTCGCTTGAAGGGGTGTCTGCCTGGTTTATTTTTAATAAACGGGCGTTAAGTGAGCGACGTGGATCGAACAAAAAACTCACACTCTTCGAGCGTAGCCTGGTTAAAAGCAGTTAAATTATTATGAATATCTCGTGTATACATTCAGAGATTTCGAATAAACTTCTTTTTCTAAGAAAGTGACGGTTTATTCTATGGACATCATGCCCCTAGAGCCGCTTTTATTTTGACGTTATTTTCTTCTCTCGTCGTCTTCAATAGTTTTTGTGCGTGCAGATTTAATCATTTAAAATAGGCAGACGCAGGCATTTAAATTGCTTGGGTCTTTGTGAGTTAAATATGACAGTTTTTTTATTTCTCATTTCTAAACGCAACGATTTCGGTAATGATGTGTTCTTGCGCAATGTCTTGTAGTAGGTGTTTTACTTTCCGAGGCACGTCTCCGCTCTCCCTCTTCGTTTCATTGCATTCAGAATGTGACGCATGCGCATAACAAATGAAATACGTCAACATTGTGAACGATTGTTTTGGGCCTCGTAATTATATTAATTTATTTCAAATAAAAGCAATTTCAACACATTGTACGTAATTTAATATTATTATGTATATAATATATAATGAAAGAATTATTTTTAATTATAATAGTGTAAACATGTCAATGTGACAGACAGTTCGATCGACACGTGGGAAACAGTATGAACTTCAAACCACAGACTAGTAATACAATGTATTACTAGTCTGAGTTCAAACAGACTTTTCATAAAACAATAGCTGCCATAATCGTCACCATGCCCAGCTCCGTGGTTGACGTGTGTTCGTCAGTATAGACAGACCCTTTTTTCATTAAAACTTTACTTTTTGAAGAGTATACATCAATTTTATGCTGTGGACTCGAAATTTGAATCTTTTTCAGGGGAGCACACATGAAAACGAGAGAAAACATTTTAGTGGAAAATTTTAATTTTAGAATGTTATTTACATTTTGTACTTTGGATTTTAAACAACTATACTACGAGGAACGTCTTCGTATCGATAACTATGACTTTTGACTAGATAATGAAAGTCAAGGGGTCGTTAGGAAAACTACAATTATTACATGAACTTAGGATGCCTTGTGCAAATTTAGCAAACATCCAGGTTTATTTTTGTGCCCTCAACAAGAAATTAAATTTGGCCTGCAATACCTCTTGTACAATAGTTTTGAAAATTTCAAATCATCTTCTGTCTTTTTTAAGAAGAGCATTCGATGAAAGTAAAATATGCATAAAATGCCAAGTTTTGATTGCTTGTACTATGTTCTTACCCGTGATCATTTTTTATCTTCGTGAAAAGATGTTTTAAATGATACCAGTTCGGAAAAAGTTGTTCAGACTAATTTATTGTTTATGGTTTCGGGGCCAAAAAGTTGTTTTATGCAAAAATCAAGCCCAGTTTACTACCATAATCAGCTTTCTGAATACATGTATATATAACAACACAAGTCTTGAATGCTGCCTCCTGAAGTTATTAGTTAATTTATAAAGCGTCGTTAAAAAGATGACGTCAGTCAGTGTTTTCACGTAAAATATAAAATTATTTGGGTGATCGGATTGCTTTAAAACTTATTTAAATGGTGACTAAATTAACAAAATGCTAAGAGAATGTACAGTATATATTATGCCGCCATTTAGCAACGGTACTAATTTCGAGAAACTTTACAAATAATTTAACTATCACGAAAACACATTTTCTCCTTCGGATTTTAAGTTTTTATCATCACGATTCCATCGAAATATTTCTGTAAGTATTGCTGTGTTTAGTATGCCCTAAATATTGATAAGCGGCGCCCGAAACAGTTCCGAGAGCAGAAACAAACGATGTATTTTATATCATGGAGCTCCATGTGTATACGGAGTTGAATTAATTTTCGCCAAAACAATTTTACAGTTGCGTGTTATTTTGTTGTTGTTTTTGTTTTGTGTGTGTGGTAAATATCATAAAATAACTAACATTTCCCTGAATCATCTCATCCATGATTGATGATTGAGCAATGAATAAATTCCGTGCAAAAAATCGAAAATAATACTCAATAATAAAAAAATATTGTATTGCGTGGAATGTATAATAGATAAGTTACGTGATGCTAAAAATAGTAAAAAAGTGTATTTTTATTTGATTTGATGTATTCTTGCCATAAAAAAGTGAAATGTTTTTAAATAGAAATAAACATTTTTGTGTGCAACTTTTGAAATTACGCGTTAGGCCCCTATTACAATAACGGTGGTTTGTCGGAGGTAGCGCTCTTTTCTTCATTGATCTTACGTAGTTTTGAAATATGCGTAGTTTACAGAATCACAAACGAACTGTTGTAATTGCTTATTTGTTACGCTGTGATATAATGCACCAACATAATATATGGTCGAGTTATGAGTTATTGTCAGGTTTTGCTAGCTCTTTTGAAATTCGTATTCGTAAAGCCTCGTTTCAGGTTGGCAATATATCGTTTAAATACATTAGGCTATGTTGCAAGTTTCTATTCTGTGTAGTAAAAATAGCAAAATAGATAGCGAGTGGCCTTGTGATTAATATATTGCGCGAGATTGTTAAATATCGCGCGGTCGCTGTATTTCTTCAACGCTACTTTTTCACGTGTGTTTAGCATGGGATTCACCGGAAACCTTTACATCGGCATTTTTGCAAAAATTGCACAAACGGTTTTGATATTTATGTAAGCAAATTATGCATTTTTTTCAAAAAGTTGAAAAATACTTTGAGTTTTAAAGTAATGTTTGGGTAATTCCACCCACCCTATACAACAAGAAAAAAAGTCCGGTCTACGCCCCGAGGCACACGGTGATGGGGCGTAAGATTGATGGGCTATGTTCTTTGTATGAAGCAGCTATAAACGTTTATTGTGGTCATATCGACTTCATTCTTTCTTTTTATATCCATGACTTTATGAAGATACTAAACGTTGGCAGAATTCCAGCACCATTTTTATGGCCTGTCACACGGAGATAGATGTTTTACTTTGGCGAATAAGAGGAAAAAAAAGTCCTAACATGTGGATATAGCACGAAAAAAAAGTGAGTATAAGAAAAAAAAGAATAAAATAAAAGAATTTTTGGGAAATCGAAGAAAAAAAAAAGAAATATAAATAAAATATAAATGTTGGTAAATCGTTTACAATATACTATAGATGGTTTGTGTTGTCGTGCAACATTGGGTGGTATATGAAGCGGGGTGAGTGTGACTGGGGATGCGTTCATTGATATACTAGTAGGTCCCGGGAATCTGTGTCGGGTTCGCGCTCTAGATACTTACGCTCGAGTCTGTTCATGGTCTGTCGTTGCACTCGATTATAAACGGTTAGGTTTCATTCATTCGAGCTTTTCCCTGGACCACACGCTGACTGCCATAGACTGTATTGTTTTGGTTGTGTACGCAACAAAAACAGGGAGGCTCTTTCTGAAACGCCGCCTCGACCTGCCATATAGCTCCGCCAAGGGCGTAACCGGCTGCGAAATACGTAAATACTGACCCCGTTTGGCTACACCCAACCTTAAACTCAGCCCATTTTCGGCGGGGCTAAACGCGGACGAGGCGGGTCGTTGTAATCGCGAAATAAAGTCAGAAAACGAAAAGACAGCACGATGAAAACTACCCAGGAGTGTGAAACTGAGTCGAATGTGTCTGTGCGTGCATCGAAAGCGACATGTTTTGTGTTGGGCGCAATTTTATTGGCAGTCCTCGATCAATTGCGGCGGCAGCATCAAAGAGATTCTCAAATGTTGTTAGCGCAAGGCAAATTTCATTATGCCTCCCACCCAAGCCCTGACGTCTCATATTTTATGCGACTGATCTTTATCCGTAGTACAAAGGCGCCGCCCCCTTTGATGTCAAGAGCGCGAATGCACTGGGAGTTTCTTCCTAAAGTCTACTCATAGACCCTTTCAGAGGTCAGTTTTCATTTCACGATCAGCTGGAAACCTTCTATGACATATCATGTTACGTTGTCGAACTAAAACGCACGCCTTTGCCCAGTTTTAACGCTGATAAGTCCCAAATAATACCGATAAATCACACTAACTAGTTGCCGCTAAGTGTTCCGTGCTATTATGTTGACCAATCATCGGGGAGATATTTGCGTAAAGCACCGCGCCTATGCGACGTCTGCCTGAAATTGCTTGTTGACAAAGTAATCAATCAAAAGCTTTCTGTTTCTAGTGTCCCCGGGTCATTCCCACGCTCACAAAAAACGCGTTTGGTTAGTTAAATTATGGTGATATTCTAAAATCTTAGATTTGACTCATTCCGCCTGACATTTTGACTCTCTGAGACTTTTTTCGAGAAATTTCATAGCAAATTCAGAGTACGCGACGCGAATGTTTTGATCAGCAAATGAGAAAGTGGGGTCGTCGAAACCATTGCGGCTTTTTCCTTTAATGTTGGCCTCTTTGTTCAGCTCCTGTCAATCAACGAACATCAATTAATGCCGATCATTTGAGCGTGACTCCTATTTCATAGCATATTCCTCCGCGTTTTCACCGAAAAGTGTGTATTTTCTCTAAACTCCATTTCCGACAACTGGGGTCGATTTCGGGGAGCATTTGGCGACGAATATCGGTTGAAACTGTTGAGGTCAACGCGCTGTTATGCTTATGCGAAAAATTCACTAGGTTCGCGGACGGATACACTATGTTCGGTAGGCGTGCTGCGTCACACAATGTGCAGCTGGTGTGTGTGTTTGTAAAAAAATATTGCATTTTTTATTCATGTCTGTATGAACGTTTTCCTCTGTTCTCTTCGCACTGTACGGAGAGAGGAAATCTCTGAGAATGGCAACATTGGCGATCAGTAGGACTAACCACGAATATATCCAACCAGTGAACGCGTCACAGGTAAAAAGTGTAAAATTTCTTGTCGATATCTTTTCATTCACATGTGCTTTTTTACTTGGACCCGAACTTCCTGTATGCTAACTCACACCCACTTTTGTCTCTAAACCCGCCCCTTACAGGACATCCAGCCTTCCCCGCTCGCCTTACTCGCCGCTACGTGTAGTAAGATCGGACAGACTCCAGAAGAAACGGTCAGCACAAGTACGACAACTACAGTGAAATTTGTCGGGCAAAATGCCGCGGTTGCTCACGGAGAGGTAGTGACTACCAACGCTGGTTTAGTAACCACGGCTATACAACAACCACAGACTGCGATCGCCCCTGCAACTATACAGTTACAAACTTCCCAAGCAGCCGATGGAAGTCTGAACATTAAGAACTTTACTCCCCAGTTCGCGTCGTATGTACAACAACAACAGCAACAACAACAACCGCAGATTTTCACTACAACGAGTGGTGGAAACACGATCCAGTACAGCGTTATACCTCAGTTTCAAACTGTCGATGCGAATGCGACGTCGATCGATGGCACAATTTATTACACTCCGATTTCGACGGGAAATCAACAGATTCTGCGAGCGGCAGCCCCGCCAAACATGGCCAACTTGACAAATCTAGCGAACTTGTCCGTCCAAAACATTGGCGGCGTGCCGCGTGTTTTTGCTACTCAACAACATCCCATGACGTTAGCACTGGCCCCGGTGTCGACAACGAACTCTGTGACGAACAACACTGTCAGTGTCGCGATTGCCACTAGTCAGAATCAAACAACACCGATTTATGTCTCATCAACGCAAGCAAACTCTCAACCAGCAGCCACCACGCAACAACTAAATGCTCTAAATGCTTTAAATCTTAACACAGTGACATTGCAAACAACCCCCGACGGTCAGACAGTGATACAACAACAACCGGCTCCGATCTTCGTTCGCACGCCCACGGGAGTGAACTGGCAACCCGTGCAGGTGCAGAACTCGACGCAGCCATTACCACAACAAATCATCGCCGCAGCAGCAAACTCTGTTGGTGTCGCCCCCACCGTAAATGTAGCTACGATACCGACATATAATGTTGCTTCGACGAATGGCGCAATAAATACGGCTCAGATATCGCCAATGAGTCCCATATCCACCGTCAGTCTAAACGCTTTACAGGCCGCCGGAATAACAGTCGGTAAGCTTGATTCTTAATTTTAATAAATTCAAATTTTTTGTTAACTTTCGTTGTTTACATTAATTATGAGGTAAGTTTGCATTTCACCGACTCGTGCTGTGTTTTCATTCGACCTGAACGGTTTACATGCCTTAAATCGTCTGGTACGAATGTTAATTTTTCTACGTGCGAGACGATGCAAAATACGCTATACATGTCTTATTGTTCACTGAATTCACAGGTTCACAGCTTTGTCCATTCTGGAAGACTGTCGTCTCACTTAATGTCTGGCAAGTGAACACGAACCAGACATCAACATCATCTACATAATAATAACCATTTAGTGTTTTCCAAACTATTATTTTCATAAAGAAAAACAAAAGTGTTGTGGGAATTTCACGGTTAGTAAGTTTTGTTTTGGGAGGACAATGACACCCCCTTGTCAGTTTTTAAAAAAGAAAAAAAAAACACCAGATGCCTAGGGGACAGAGATCTTTTGTCCCAGGAAAGCATCAGTGTTTATACCAAGTTTCACATGATATGATATGGGAAATTTATAATTCCTATCCACTGTGAAGAATGTAGGGAAAGCATTAGACCTGAAATTGACAAAGTGTTCCTGTTATTGAAATGTGCAATCGTTTTTTTTTTTTTTTGTGTCTAGCTCACTAGAGAAAGAAAAGCTCAATAACATTCTGATAAAATTAAATAAAAAATGCCTTGTCTTTATTTGTTTTAATTGAATAAAAACAAAACTTTTCAAGTTTTTATAAACATTGTGAAAAATTATTGGAATTCTTATTTTTATGAAAAACTAATTAGATAACACTAAATTATTTGATGCAAGGACGAAAACCTCTAAATACAGTTTATTCATTGAACAGTTATTTTAAAAACGAGTTAATAATTTTCTTACCTGCAATAACTATAGGTTGACATGTGAAATGGAACATGCATATTTTATTGTCCATTTCACATCATATCTGTAACATTTCTTTAAAGACTGTAGTTTTAATCGTTCAATGTTGTTGATGATTACTATCATTACATTCGCACTTCTAACTCAAGTGTTACCATATGTTGTGACCCTTTTAAAATTATTGGTTTACCTAAGCAGAGTACAACTGCCATATGCGGTTGAAAAAAAAAAAGTTGTCTATCCGCTAGACAAGCCGGGTAGCTAAGTGTCTGCTCCAATCAGAGAGTTACCTGTTATCATTACGCTAATATCTGTCTTACAAAAATTGGGGCTTATTTGTTTTTATGGCTTAGTACCCTTGTGAAGTTTTCACCGCTACAATTTACAAAAAAAAATTTCGCTTAATTGCGAAAATTAAGACTACTTGCATACAGTACATTTCTCACTTGGCACGCACCACAATATTCAAAACAAATATGAAAGTTTTTTTTAACAAATCTAAGCAAATCATGATACATTGAACATCTCACTGAGAGTTATTTTAGAAATGTTTAATCTCCCTTGAATTATCCAAAATCTGGTGGTTTTACAGTATGGTATATACAACAAACTCTGGTATTTTCATCCCAAAACATGCAAGTATTGTCTGTTACAAAATCTTGCTTGTGACACCCGTGACAAAAAAGCATAATAGTGAAAAAAAATTCAAACAAATAATTTAAAAGTTGCTAAAACTAGTTGTATTTTTACAAAAAGTATGATGTTTAAGATTTTAATTAAAGAAATTAATTAAAACGAACATTGTATTCAAAGTCAAATGTTGATTTCATTGTGAACGATCCTGTTGTGTCGTTTAGCTAATTAAGTCAACAGGTTAATTGAAAAGTGTTTTTGTTTCCCTGTGTCTTCTTCCAGATCTACTAGAAAAAGAACTACCTCATATTTTAATTAAAGGATAAATATCACTTTCTTTGTTCATTGACAGCACAAGTCACATTAAAGAAATAAAGAAAATGAGTACAAATTGAGAGTAAACAAAATACTGAAAAAGCTTTTTCCATTCGCTCACTAAGATTAATTAAAATGTAAAAAATAGTACTTGAATAAAGCAAATATTTTTGGGGCATTCCTTAAAATTTCTGGGGTGAAAATGAAATGACAAATGTAAAACAGCACTGAGAAGGAAATTAACAATGTCAGTAGTTAGTGATGTACTACTACGTGAAATTAGCAAAATACTACCCCAGACCATTTCATCCCAGTGTTATCACTTTCGCCTACATTTACATAAAATACACATGAGGAAATAAAACTCAATTCAGGGAATATGTAGTCACATCCTCAACGTACAGAGGAAACTTAGAAAACAAGTTTAATTGATCACACATGGTAGAAAATAAGATTAATCTATGTATGAATAAAAAATGATGTTTATGCTAAATTGTCAGTTCCATTTGTTGAATATTGGTGTGATATCTATTGACCTATTAATAAAATTAGTCAAAAAAAGAATTCCAAAAATATTTTTAAAATAATAAAATTTTCTAATTAATTACAAAAAAAGAGAATTGAAATGAAACACATTCCAAAAATGGCATATTTAGTGAGAGTTTTGTTTGAGAGGCATTTTGATTTGAAAATAATTTAAAATTACGTGGTGTGACCTGTTCTAAATTCAGTCGTTTCCATATGGTTCAATTTTGGGAGAGTATGTTCATGTTAAAATAAGCCCCAGTCAGTATTTGGGTATGATTGAAATATGTATACATAAAATTAAATTGAGAATAAAAACTTTAAATTTGCCATATTTAACGATTAATTGTTATATTTACATACTGGATACATGTCACAACATTTCTATGTTTCAGTCTCGTTTTGACCTTACTAAATGCGTTGAAATAAAAATGAAATGTTGGTAAGCGACTAAAGATCTTAGGGTAAATTTGCCGATTTATCCTCCTCCTCGGGCATACTTACATTTCATTATAATGTATATCAGGTCACTTCAGAGACCCTTCAGAAAAATTGGTTAAATTGCCCGTTTTACTGTACTTGCAATGTATGACTGATGTCCATTTCGTCATTTTCTTTCAAATTCTCCTCTCTTCAGATATGAAGGTCAAAATAAGTTTTTAGACATTCTCCAAATTAATTTGATTTGGTGGTCATTAAGGGGTTAATTGGTTAAAACAGAAATATAATTGCTATAAGAAACTAGGCTAGATTTAACGAACGAAAACTATGCAGTATTTTTCTCCATTAGTATGCTTAAATTTAATGTGTGTAAGCCGATGGATAGAGAATAATTGTATTCATTTCGCTACAATCATCAAAATTATTTAGCTTAAATTTACTTGCAAACTTTCAGTTCCTCCAAATATGCTCAGATGAGGAAGAAGTGAATGATAATAATGAAACATGTTAATTTCTGGCACCCATTGTGCGTAGATTTAAATTTTATTTTAATTACACGACTCCATTTGGTCACAATACTGCTTCATCTTGGCTTACATTATATTTCATCAAAAGGGATGGAGAAAAAAATCTGTTTGTTTCCAGGGCTAATAATATATGCAGTGTTCTTCATATTTTTATACTATAAGGGAAAACCAATCCAAGTTACATTAAGTTTTGAAATAATAATTGTTTTCTCCCTGAAGAATTTCAAAATACTGACCCCCCTCGCTTTACTCCTCTTTTGCAGTAATAATACGCCTATACATTTTCTTACATATTCTGAATGAACATTGCTGTAGTTTTTCGGATAAAGCACTTTTCTCTGCCAATTATTTTAATTTTCTCATTGAGCATCCATCGTTTCTTCGAAATGCAATATTCGTGCCCTTGTGACCTCTTCATTCAGAGAAAGGTATGTCTAGACAGCTAACGATTTCTACCCTGTACTGGATGAGACTTGTCTCTGTAATGGGACAGTTCCAGCTGATTTCCATGGACTACTCATAATGACGACTTAAACCTGCACAAATAATGTGATAGTTCCATTGTGAGTATTCTGTTGTGCATAGAAGCCATCAGGCAGAAGTGAACTAGATAAAGCTATGACCTCTGTCGACTTTTTTCAACCCAATGAGAATTTTTTTTTTTTTTTTTCTCTCCCCGTGATCACTGATTTTGCTAACAGGGATTGAAATGACTGGCTTGATTAATTGGTCTTCTACAACCAGCAGAAATGGTCTGAGCTGATCAGTCACGCCTAGAAATAGTTACCAAAAAAATTCTTTCAGTGTGTTAGTGTAATCAATCATTGTGTTGAAAGACTGGGAATGTGAAGCTGTGGTCACACACTATCATGAAATGGTATGCAAGGTTAATATGTGTAAATAAGAATTAAAATAAAAATAGTAATTTTTAAATAATATCAAAAATCATGAATAGTTAAATTATCAGTCCTAGTTACTGAGAAATTACTTGGCAGACTGGGTTGCAAGTTAAAATATCTAATATAGTTTTGCAAAAAATTCCAAGTTCAGAAACTGTAAATGTGAACTTAAAATGATTTGAAGATATGAACTTTTCTAGGGCTAAACCAATTCACTTGTCTTATTAATGTTGACATTGTTAGCAGCTTAAGTTATACTTGTCAAGTCGTGTGGTGGTGAATGCCTCCTCCAGCTTGCTGCACGTCAACGTACGTCAATTCATCTGGTGACTTATTCACTGAAATAAGACCACCGTCTATGATAACCAGCGGAAGTATGTATACAGTTGAACGTCCTTCCAAGCGCAAATTCATATAGCCTATTTCAGTCGGCTGTTGACTTTAATTGGCTGTTATGTTCTATCGTAATTCAAAGTTGTGGTTGTTTTAGTTACGAGGGCTCTGTACACCTCAAGGAGAGACCTGATTGGGTAAAATAGAGGTTATCACTGTCCTCGTATGATTTGGTTGCTATGATACTTGCGTAAAGGTTATAATTAGCGATACCCCCCCCCCCCCCCCGCCCCACTACCCCTCCTGACACTGGACAATATTTAATATGAAGTCCCCATTTCTATTTGCGTTTTATTCAATCTGACATTGTCATGCAAATGAGGGCAGGTAGAACGTTGTAAGTGTCAACAGAATAACAAATGTTATAAA